AGTCAAGGAGACTCAAAGAATGCCTGTTCCTAAAAAATACCAACTCAGTGAATCAGCTTTTAAAACACCACATTTGCAAGTGATTCCTTGCAGAAAACATATCCATGCTGCAAACCCTTTATTTTCTGAGTGGTTTTTTCCCAAATATTTGAAGAAACACTAAACGAAGAAGAGACCAACTGTCACCTTGTGATTTGTTCACAACCAGTTAATAGCACCTCCAGCATTTTATCTGATAATGCAGTTGCCAAGTGAATAGACAATTCCATAGGCATTTTTCGCAAAGTGAAAGCTCTGAGGAAAAAACGTCTCTCAAATTACAGCAAGTAGTCATAGCAATTTATTAAGAAGGCGGTATCTCAAGTTCTTGCTAGCTTTATTGCTATTTCTGCTAAAAAAAATTGGTCTAATTGAAGCATCATTCCAACAACATAAAGTGGCATTTTCATTAGTGTCTTTTGGTACAAAGCTTAAACTACACGCCTCTTTCAGCACATGTGTCATTCTGAGCAGTAACCCACTGCCTTTCCTTAGGACTGAATAAGTTAAAATTACCATTTCCACTGGAATGCCCTAAAAATAATCAGAAAACATGCATTCTTCACAATACAGTAAGCGTCATTTATTGCCAATTGTTCTCACCTGATCAAAGAGATCTGTACCGTCAGTTCCTGCTGCTTTCATTAGTTCATCCTCACCACCAGGATGATACTCCATGTATGGTGTGACATTATATACGAATCCTGAAAAAAGTGGAATATAAAAACATGAGTAACATTCCTACAACCCCTTTTGTCTCCCAAACCAGTGGAAAGGTTAGCGCACATTAGAGAGTGAAAAGGCAAACAGCAGATATTGTTGGAACAAATAGTGTGACTTTTCAAAAACAGAAACACAAGTTACACAATTGTGTAGGGAACAAGAGGTATCTCATTATATGGAAATGCCAATCCTACAATGCCATGCCACTTGCCCCAGTGAACGTCTGAAGATACCTGCTGGGTTAAGATTTTTACCTAGAATTTGAACACGATGTATCCTCGCTAGGGGGTAAAAGAACCTGAGGCTGGTTTTAACAGAGACATAAAACTGAGCCAGCTAGTGCACAGAATTATTTTCACTCTCCGTTCCAATTAAGTTATGCCTGAATTCTTGTCATAGTTTTTTTCCCTGACACCCATCATCTATGGAATAAAATGCCTAATGGAAGAAACTGTCTTCCATAAGGAAAAACTGTCACCATCAGCAAGAAAACTTCCATTCTTCAGATTCAGCAATACAAGAAATTAACATAGCTTATGCTCCTTAAAGCCTCGCACCTCTGCTACAAAATCTGTCCAGTAAAAGGGCTCAGCATTCTTTCTACACTTCCAGGGAGATAAAACAACATTTCTTCACAGGTCTGAAATGATGAAATCTAATTACTGTTGCTATGCAACCAGGATAATAAAAGCCTGAAAAATTCAGCTATAAACAGATTTAAGTACATGTTAACATGATTATTACAGGCCTGCCTAACAGAATAGTTAAACATAGTTAACATTATCAAAACAGGAAGCTACTAAAAGTAGAACTATGTCACTGCTTTCACAAGGAGCTTTTAAGATATTACGAAACGTACATTAATTACATTAGAAGGAGAGATAGGCACTCAGCACTGAGCCAGGGGGAGACATCTTTGGGACAATCCTAGTTGGAAAAAACAACTATCCCAATCAAAAAAGGAAGGATCTTTGCATATTTTACTGACCTGCTCTCCTGATGGCTGTATTCACTGTGCCATCTTGTGTGCAGCACCGATTACTGCACACAATAAAACATAAGTATCTACAGAGGTATGACCTCCTGAATACTAGCCAAATCGACCATCAAACTTGCAGAAGCAAAAGAAATACCATTTCCATACCCTTCATGCTTTTTTTAACTCCCCTGCCATCCCTCTTTATGTATAAATTTAGGGCACATATGACAGCTTTCTTTGATAATTATCACACTGGGTTTTTGATCAAAGTTAACTCTGTTCTTGTTTTACTTCACATTCTTCTCATTAATTTCTGCTCTTTAGAGACACAGTCTAACTATCAATGCAGAGACCTCATTTAGCTTTTACACGACTGTTATTTTACTACTTGTCCACATATGAAATCTACAGATAATCTACCAGGATTCTCAGTTATGATGTTTTTGTATTAGTCATCTGGGAACAAAGGAAAAGCAGAGATGGAAACATTTAAGGGAAGATACAGAATCAGCTTGATAGAGTTCTTCTGAAAACCAACCTTAGAGATGCATTCAAGGAAGAATATGAGACTAAAAACAAAACAAAAGCATTTTAAGGAGTAATCCTGTCTGCAGTAGTACATGTCCCTCTTTCAGAAAGAAAAATTAACAGATCTCCTTACTAAACAAGCTTTCCTTAGTTCTCCTCCCACTATAGCTTTGCTAGCACATGCAAGAGCAGCACAGACCATTAACTATCCTATTATTTTGTTCAAAGGACAGTACTGAATGACATTTTGTCCCTACCTTCACTCTCATCCCCTTTAAAACCCAACGAAAACAGTCACCCTCCAAGAGAAATTCTTAACTGCCTTTTGCTGAAGTTCAGACATGACATTACATCAAATATCAATGCTGTTCCTTACCAAAGTTACCACTAAAAGAACCACTCTTCCTACAGAAATGTCACATTAGCTATGCTGATCCTCTTAATTGTGCTGTTATTTCCTAACAAATTTAAGGCAGTATTAATGTATTTTAGCCTCTAGATGATTAAACTGGAGAGCAAAGATTTTACTCCTTTCTGTAGGACAATTAGGAACTCCATTTGCAGCCCTGAAAATACTCTTCTAGCCACAGCTATTGCTCCAGGCCACCTTTTACCCACTGTTAACTTATAACACTTTCCACTTTTGAGCTAATATTTAATTAAAGTAATACCATAAATAAAATAGCTTAGTTACACAGATATTTTTTATGCTAGGTAGATCACAACTGCTCTACATGGCAACTGTCATTAGCATCGCCAAGTTTTATGAAGCAGTATGTGGGCCTTGCACAATTATTTCCCAGAGACCACTCTACTGGTTTAAGCAACATTTTTAATATTTATATATCTTTGGATGCTTTAAGGCAATCACTAAACCCAATCAACTGCAAAAGATGATAAGCTGTCCAAGACTGAGGAGTGTAACTACATGCAAGCATTTTCAATGCCTTATTCTTGCTAAGCCCTTGTTATTTGATGCATTGCCTACAATCTTTTGTTTTACCACTTTCATATGCAGAAATAAAATAGGTATAAAATATGCCCACTTGAAAGACTTATTATGAAAGGTTTGAAAGCAAAGAATACCTTTGTGATACAAAATCTCTAGGTTGAACAGACTGCTGTCAAATTATGTCAAGATTACACCTGGCCTAAACACTGAAAAGGCATAGTTTGGTTTTGGATATGGCTTTTATTGTTGTCTGGGTTTTACTGTTTCTTCCTAAAGTACAGAAAGGGGAAGCTAGGTAAAAAATGCAGAAGCAACATCACAACCAACCTCTTATACATATCCAGCAGTCCTCCTTTTTGTTGTGTTTAGCGAGCTCATCTTCGGTCACTTCAATCAGCCTCCCTTTCAGACCAGTCAAGTCCTTCCCACTTTTAGTTAATCGAATCCAATCCATAAGACTCCTTCCTGGTTTTAAAGGTACCTGAAAAATAACAAATGTACAAACATCACTAAACTCTAAAGGAAGAAAGAGCCATTAAATACACTCTTCTAAGCTCCTTAGGAATACTCAGACAAAAAGGAAATAACCCAACTTGTATTATTCATTGATATTTGAGAGCCCTACTTAGTAGTAAGGGTGCTTAAGGAAGTGTTCTGGGTAGTAACCCAAACACAGAAATTATTGAACATCACCAAACATTCAGACTCTTCCCAAAGCAAACCGAAGGTACCAAGTCTGCCTGTGGCAGTAAAAATTTTTTATGAGCATCATTTGAGATATGGCCTGTACAAGCAACAAAGAAGGGAAATTTGAAAATCATGATAAGGCATGACAAGGTTGGAAAGTTCACTTTCACAGCATTCATAAAGACTTTCCCCAAGCCCTAAAGCCACTGGAAAACTCACCCAGAGAAAGCTGGGACTGAAGTCTAGTAGCTTACCAGAGGCCATGGCCTGCCCTGAAAAGCAGAGCAAGATCTTCAGGATGTTTAGCACGTGCCTTTTCAATACCCCCACAGACTGTGAACCCCTTTGATCCAAACTTTAACAGCAGAACCCTGGTCTTACAAAACCACAGGAAAAACAGAAGCAAAAAACCTATAGCAAACACAGACCCACACCACTTAGTGGTACTTTAGTCTAAGTACAAGTCTGTTGTCCAAGTGAGGTCTGCAGACAACAAGTGTTCTTAACACACACACACCACCCCCACAACAAGGATGAAGACCCAACATATACAGCATAAGCTGCACGCAGGAATTCCAAGCCGAAAGTGTCCATCCCTGCACAGGCTGTGCGCCGGGCCGGCAGCGCCGGAAGCGTTACCACCACCGCCTTCAAACGAGAAGTACCAAGGGTTTTCCAGCGACGCGGCTGAGCCGGCCCCTAAACCATGGCCCTGCCGCGGTCCCTCGGCGGCTGCTGGAGTACGAGACCGCTCCAGGGGAGCGTCCGGCGGCAGTCGGGAACCGACCGGCAGCCAGCGCAGCCCTGCCGGGCGGGGCCAGGCCATACGGGCGGCACCCACGCCGGGAAAACGCCGGCGCCCTTCACCACCCCCAAAGCGCCGGCCGGCGGCCAGGCTGCCCCTACCTTGCTGCGGCCGCCCGCAGTCGCCCGCTGCTGGGAGCCGGGCGCGGGGAAGGCCGGCGGCGGCACGTTCAGCATCCTGCCGGGCCAGGCCGCGGCCGGGCTCCCGCGGGCGGGCCCAGCTCCGGCACAACGCGCAGGCTCCGCCGCGCCGGGCGGGGCCGGCCGGGGGTCAGGGACGGCCGGGCGGGGAGCGGGGCCGGCGGCGGGGCGGCTCGGGGGAAACCTGCCGGGGCTGGACATCTCCGCGGGGAGGGAGCGGCGCGTACCGAGTACCAGCGCCGGTGGCTGCCTCCCCTCGCTCTAAGGTTGGCGTTACGTGCGGGTCTCCCACCGCCAGGTGCTGGAGCTGGATGGTTGTCGTGACTGACACAGCTGACGCTGCCCCAGCCCTGGAGGTTAAATGCTGAGCCCGGCTGTGTGTGAGGGCCCGCTTCGTTCCTGCACCGGCTCCCTCGGGAGCAGATGTGGCGGGGCAGACACTCCAGGGATGTTGTTGGCACACGGAGCCAGCCCCGCCCGCAGCGACACACGCAGCGCTCAGGCAAGAGCAGATCCAGGTATGTACACAAGCTCTACCTGACAGAGGCGCTGGCGTTTAAGTTACAATTTTAGATTTTTGTTGTTGTTGTTCGTTTAGGGCCTTTGGCCTTCGTGATGACTGGTACCAAACTTTGCTTCAGTTATTAAAACCAAACTCACAATAAGAACAGCACACTGGGCCTTTTTCTCATTTCTTGATGTCAACTTTACAAACAAATGCAGTTGGAAACTATCATGTATACAGTACATGTACATAAGAGTGTCAGCGACTTAAGCCAAACACCTTCTTCAAAAATCAAAACGTAGACTAGAATTTGGACTCTTCTCTCCATTTAGAAAATAGCTATACTGTTTCTCTTCTCCCTGTTTGGAACTCTGTTGTAGCAGCAAGCATATTAGAATACTTAATCCAATGATTCCTTGATACAGTTCCATATGGAGCCTACTAAATCACCATGAAAAGCTTTCCTTGTGTCCTCAGACTTTGAGAAAGTCAAATAACCGTAGAGCCTTTTAAAGCAAGGCATCTGTTCTCTACTCCTAAAATTGGTTTTCAGGTTATGGTCTACAAAACATAGGACCTCAGATAAAAATACTAATCAATACATTCCCTGCCTAGACCAGGACAGGAACAGAACAAAGGAAAAAGCTCAGATAAAATTATAAGACATCTCAGTTTTATTAAGAATAACTTACATAGAAATAAATTATATTTAAAAATACTATAATACATATTTATATTAAGTTTAAATTAAGTCTTAGAAGTGGCATTGGCCTTCCCTGCAATCAGCAACCTGATTCTGTTCTTGAATCTTGTTCTAGTTCATCTTCATCATCTTCACTATCTGAGTCTTCATAAAAGGAAATTGTGGCTTGAACTGGAAAGTTTTTCAGAAGTGCTTCAGCTTCCTGATACAAGTAATCATAGCATCTTGATTTGGGCCAAAATAGTCTGAAACAAGTATACAACAGATTTGCTTATTGTTATTACATATTTTATGTGACGGCTGGCAGGCAAGAAACCGAAGTGAAATTCTGTTAAGACAAGCATCCTACAGAGCTTTTCCTCACATGGTCAATTACTAAATCACTTTCTACATCTGATTAGGGAAAAAAAAAAACCAAACCAAACCAACAAATAAAAACCTCCACAAAACAAACAAACAAACAAACCCACCCACACACACACAAAACCCCTCCCTGGATTCTGTATTTTCATTTGAAGAGATAAAGATACATTTGAAGTGCTAGTTTTGCAGCAAAACTACCCTAAAGCCCAAGATCTACCGTATGTGAAATTTCACACTCCGGTACCTCATTAACAGTATTACCAGGGATCTGGTTCAATAGTACTGCCCTAACTGGAACTATTCCCAGGGAATATAATAGTTGTCAAACAGAATCCAAAATATATTTGGGTTAAATTAATAGTTTCCTTAATTAAGATCTCCATCCTAGGTAGTTGTTTACAATGGTGTGAAACAAATCCCAAACTGAAAGATAAAGGTCTAGAAGTGATCAGACCTTGATATTTCCAAAAAGAATCAACAAACTCCTTATTGAAGAATGCCCCATGGATCTAGATTTAAAGTAGTCTGTGTTGTATCTAGAAACAAACAAAAATTGGTGGTATCATAGTTGACAAGGGCTATCAGCTAGTGACATTATATTCCAATTAATATACTCCATAGTTCCTGTTCCTTTTCAGCTAACATCCTCTTTTACTTACACTTTGGAAATAGCTATAAGAAACAGACCATGGAAGTCCCATGAGCCAAGAGACTAGCGCACTGCAACATAATGAAATGCTGACTACAAACTGTTTATAATATAAATCCTTAAACTAGGCAGCTTTCTAGCAATCACAAGAAATACTTTCTTGGCTACTGTTTAACAGAACTCTCCTTCCTTTTCAGCACAAAGTAACTGACACCAGCCTTGTAACATGTGTTCATTCCCGGTGTTCCCTGCAGCAGAATTCACTCATACCTAAGTTAACTGGAGGAGTCACAGTGAAGTAAGCCTGTGCAATTGCTTAATCTGTGCATCAGTATTTGAAGGATCAGAGCCTAGATTTGGGAGAAAGCTGCATCTTGTCTAGAAGAATTACCTGTGCAATTACTTTAAGCCTCTCTTGACACCTATTAATATTTCTGACTATAAGCTCTCCGGCAGATTCAACTGTAGTTATTTTCATTATTTCCTTTTCAGAACTGATAGTGCAGATACTAGCATTACGTTCATCATTAAAGCAGTAGTTACACAAGTATTTTCCTTGGCAGTGGTTGCTTAGCCAGTCCATACCCTCTCCACCTGTCACTCTCTCTCATGCCTGCACCTGCTTCCTTGTTCTGTGAGGGCGCTGGATGTCTGCATAGCAAGGCAGCCTAGGAACTACACCCCCGTTCCTTTTTTAATGGTGGGCCCAGGAATGAGTAGCTGGCTTCAGCCAACTCCACCACCACAAAAAACGCCCACATAACTGTGTAGCATGTCAAGTCCCCATACCACAGAAGCACATCAACACCTCAAAGATGTTACATTCACAAATGCTGGCAATCAATTGCCCAACGACCAGTCAGTGCAAAAGCACGCAGATGGCCAATTCACTCCCCAGGCACTTTAATATCTACATAAATATATGGGTGGAAACTAAAGGGGCGGGAGATGGAGTGGTACGGCACCGCGCTGCCGAGCACAGGACTCCCCTCCTGGCCGCGCAGCGCCAGCGGGCCCCGTGTTGCCCGGAGCTCCCCCGCGGGCACCGGCGGCGGCCCGAACAGCCACTTACCTAACGGGGTGCGTGTACTGCTCCACTTTCCGGGAGGCGTTCGCCAGCCCACCGGGGCTGTGAGGCTGAGGAGGAGAGAGCAGAGGTCAGCCCTTCGGCACGGCACCGGGCCCACCCCGAGCATCCCCGCCCCGCCGGCACTTCCCCGTTGTTCCTGCGGCGATGCCGGCGGCAGAGGCTCCGCCGCGCCCCCGCCACACTCACCGCTGCGGGGCCGGGGACGTTCCGCGGGGCCTCCTCGCCCAGCGCTGGCAACCACGGTCTCCAGAAGGGCGCCGGGCTGCAGGGCAAGGGCAGGGCCGTCAGGGCAGGGCCGGGCCGCTCCGCGAACCGCGGGGAGGAGGAGAGGGGCGCGTACCCCTGTGGGGGCAGCGCTACCGAGAGCGGGCGGGGGCAGGCGCACCCCCTGCTGCCGCCGCCCTCCATCCTCCGCCGGTCCGCGGCCGCTCGCCTGGCCCTGCCGGCCGCGGGCCCGGAGGCTTTTATAGCCGGTGGCGGCGGGCGCTGCGCGGCGCGGAGCCCCCACCTCCCCCGGCTCATCTGCCAGCGCCATCCACAAAAAGGCTCCGCGCGAAGGCGCCGCCGTGTAAACACGGGGCGCGGGCGCGTGCATGCCCCAAATGGCCCGGGAAGGGGAAGCGGGGGCGGGGGGGGATTTGGCGGGTCGGTGTTAATCGCACTTGAGCAGACACATGGCAGCTGCCGGGGGGCGGGAGGGGGCAGCCCCTGTGGGAACGGAGCGGGGGGCGGTGGCAGCGGGGACGTGCCCGGGCTCTGTGCGCCCCGGCGGAGCCCTTTGTTGTTTGTTTATGCCCTGAAGCAGCGAGGCACGGCGTGTGGGCAGGGAGGGCACCGCGGCTTGCCCGGGTGAGGGCAGCGCCAGCCGCTCACCGCGGGAGCGGGCACGGACAAAGGGATCTCCTCCCCGGGGTGGCGGGGAACGTGATGATCTTTTGGAGGGGTCCTTCCTTAATAACGCGTCAGCCCCCGGTACGCTCCCTGACGCGTTCCCCCTAAGGCTACACTGTTTACTGTTTTCTTAGCTAGCATGGTGGCTCTTTATATACATATATATATATATACATACATATATATATATATACACACACATATATATATAGGATATTTTTACAGAGGGAATGTTCTTTCCTTTATACTTTTCCATGTGGTCCCAATAATTCATTCCGCTGCCAGCATCGGATGCTGTCACTACGCGTGCCAGGTTTTGTGCCAAGCTCCCACGATTTCCATGTTCCCTGGTACCAAGGGAGCTTATGTTCGTTTCTATTTTTATTTATTATTTTCGTTTTCCCTTTTCTTTCTGAGATTGCAATCAGTGATGCATGTGCGGGGCAACAGAAACAACAGAGTTATGTAAGAGCTGGTAAACAGTAATAATATCAGCCCTGAGGAAGCTAGGAGGGTTGGTGGGATGGAGCTGCCCTAGATGATGAAGGAGAGCTTAAAATCCAGGTAATTTATTGTACCATTGAAGACTCACGTTACTGAGGCACCACAAAGACTGAGGCACTCTTTGGGATAATATTTTGCCTTTTTTGAGCATAGCCATAAAGAGTGTGTGTACCTTATAGCACTACCCAAAGATAGTTGCCAGGTGACTTGTGCCTTCTCCAAGACATCTTTTGCACAATCCGTTTCACTCAATGGTACCAGCAGTACCAGTTGAAAAAAACGTTACATATTAGAAGCTGTATGGGAAATGTAATCAGGGTAATCTTGCAGATCTTTAAGTCAAAACCAGATGTAGACTGAATTGCCTTTCTGAAGAAAAGCAACCACTTACTTTCAAGATAAATAGTTGGAAGAGTTCATCCATTCAAGATTGTGCATGCTGTGATATAGTCCAGCTTCATCAGTGGACACACTCTGTCACTTTGGAGGTTTCTGCCATTTGACTGCTTGGAAAAACTGATAGTTATGACTTTCAGAGTTATTAAAGGAAAATGTATTTTCCATTAAAAAGTCCAATTTAATAGGACATGTGATGTTTGTAGCTGTTTGCATTTTTCCCTGCCTCATTTTCTCTGTGGCATAGAGTCAGATTAATTAAATTCAGAGTGAACAAAAAGCTCAAACACCAGCAAATATTCCTCTACCAGTTAAGAAATGGAGAACATTGCAGAGTAAAGCAGCTTGTGCATTACACTGAATGTGATCATAAGTAAAATTGTCTCTATTTTTCCTCTTCTTCCATATAGATACTGCAAAGCCTTGTCAGATGAGATCAACTATTAAACAAATGTTTAAGTGCTGTCTGATGTTAGATTCTTCTTTGGCCTAAATGAAGTGATGCAATAATTTTTATATTTTGTATTTCTCTTTTGAGAAATGTAAGACAGGCTGTATAAAGGAAAAAAAAAGAGGCGAGGTTCAATGTCTAAAGGAAAAAGCAGAAACACCCTCTATCACAAAGGACTAAGAGAACACAACATCAGTTTTATCTGTTTGATAAAGCATAAAAATTAACTTCAATGTCTACATTAAAAGCAACAAAAGACAGGGTGTCTTTGGCCAATGACTCTTAATTGTCTCAGGACTCTTTTTAGTACCTGCCTGACATGAGAAAATGTCCTAAGGAGAAAGTGTGATTTATCCATTAGAGGGCAAATTGAAACAGAGGTGTTGAAAGGATAAGGAGAAAATAATGACTAACAGCTGTTGTTCCCCTGCATATTTTCACACTGTATGAGTCTTCTTGGCTTTACAGTTCAGTAATGCAGTCCTTTTTATTGAGAGAAATACAAAAGTCTGTCATTGCATTAATACCTTGTTCTCATTGACAGCATTAAAAAACCCAACCCAAATCTTAACATTTTGCTGTCTTCCTACTGACCTTGAAATATAGGCTAGAAATTGGTAAATCAGGGATAGAAGATGCTTTGTCTCTTCTACAATTTGTGCACAAACCACCAGTAACAGTGCATTGATAAGTTACTATCCGAGCCATGGTTTCATCATGCTAAAATCTCTGTCAGGAGATAGGCTACATACAGCTGCTGAGCAAATAGATAAATGGGAGTGCTGGGACACACTTAAAACTGGTTCTTTGCATATGGCAGTGGAATGCATAGTTATATGCATAGTGCTGAATTCAACATGAAGTCTGACAGAAGCAGTCTCCTCATGCACGTTCTTGGCTCTTCTAACTAAAGCAATATTTCCCATTCTGTGCCTTAGTTCCTGCTTTTTTCAATTTCAGCTTTTTAAGAACACTCCAAGTCCTGAGTTGAAGGTTATTGGTGGTTGTATTTATGTAACCAGACTGCCTTTACTAAAGCAAGGCTGGGAGTCAGGATCTAATACACCCTGCTTTAAATATTATAGTGGAATGGAAACGGAAATATTATGTTATATAGCTTTATTTACTCTCTTGTGCAATAGTAAAAATATCTGGGCATTCCATCAGTTATCAGCTTCTTGAAAATTTCTCTCAAAATCATATATTTTTTAAAATTTCCTTATACTACTTTCCAAGCAGGTGATAGCTGGTCATTTATGGGGTTCAATCCTGTTTAGTCACAGTTGAATTGTTATAGGGATGCAATTGAAGACTTTAAAATGCAGTAGAAAAAATTCTTGTACAGTCACTCTGGATTTGCAGCAGTAGAACTAAAACCCAGTTTTGTTTTCTCAGAACTATACCAAGCAGTATTTACCCAGAATGAAAGTAATTCACTTGACTATGTTTAGATTGATTAAAACTGCTTTTGTGGCTTTCTGCAATATGACATCTTGAAATGCAGCGCACTGTTAATAGGATACACAGAAGAGCAAACACAGAGGTCTGTGGAGATTTCAGTGTGCTACTATAAACAAAGAAGGTGTTCACAAATGGCTTAGAGCTAAATTTGACAGGACAGTGCTAATCACACTTGGACATGGGAATATCTGGACAGAGGACACTCAGCTGGCTTCATATTCACCTCTCTGAAAGCAGAGCGAACTCTCACTAATAAAGCAGGGAAATTGTGTGAAAATTATTGCATGAGTTGATACAGGGGAGGATTGGCTTGATCTTTTTAGGACTTTGTTTTAGTGGAGAAAAGCAAGGTCAAACACATGGATCTGCTCCTCTGCTTAGTGAGATTGAACTGAGAAAACTGATTAACTGAAAAAAATTGATCTTGATTATGTTATAGCCTAACTTCATCTTGATGCTTTCCCTTTTGGCAACCCTTCAGGACCAGTTTTTGGAAAATAAGTCTAAGACTGGTATTTGCATATTGATATTGACTGCACAAGCATCTTACATTTATTTACATGTTTGGTCTGTTAGCTCATAAACGGATTATTTTTTTGCCACTAAAATCAAATTTTGCATGGGAATTTTATGTGCACAGCTTTGGTAGATATTCATCTGTGTGCAATTATAAACACTTTACTGAAAACTTGGCAATGGTGCGTTATGAAGCCTCAAGCATTTTTTTAGTTGTGATATGACATGTATGGCATTCTTTCTGCTATAATTTGAAAGTAAAACATCAGTATGTAAAGAACAAAGATCAACATAGATATCTCTGCCAGTCTTTATCCTTACCATTATTTGGTCTTGATACAGTATTTTTGATAGATCTAGTGCACCTGAAACTGGGTTTCATTCAACATTTCCACAATTTTTTTTTTTATCAGTAAATAATATGAAACCCAAACTAGATCTGAAGAAATAAAATAAATACAAATTAACTTTTCTTATTAAAAAAATAAAAATAAAGGAATAGAACTTAATCAGCAGATTGGTCTATTCACATTACCTATGATACCAATGGCTATAAAACTATTGCTTGTCTAATAAAGACTGTGCTCATCCTATTGCTGTTGTGTATTTTTTCCATCCTATTTATACCCAAAAATGCATCACATATTCAAAGAGTGTAATTCCATTTAAGCCCAAGTGCCATGTGGTTCCTACAGAGAGGTCTCTTTGGAGGCCTGAAGATGGAATGCTCTTCCATGGACCTACCCCTTTCACTTCACCTCATTTCTCTGAATTTTGACTAGGATGTAATAGTATTAAACATCCTTCTTTAATTTTATGGAGAAAATTATTCTTCCCCTTCCTCTGTTCAACTGAAACACTGGAAGGAAAACTTTGTGAAAGGGAGGGATGCAGTTCCAGAAAAGCAAATCTTTTCATCCTCTTTTTGCTGTTGGGAACCTAGCTCCTGGTAACAGCGCTAGAGGATTCAGGAGTGAATGGCCTCACTTGAAAGAGCACAGCTCTACACTCTGCTCTGCCAACAAGACTGAAAACCTCCAGCTTTCCTAGATTTCCCCCAGTCCTAATGCTGTTATAAGCTTTGTGGTCGGGTGATCATTGGTATCTGCTGGGGGTTGAGCAATGGGTTTGTGTTTGTGGCACATGCACAGCCACTTGAGACCCCCATGTGTCCATGTGGCAAGGTGTGACTGCACACAGCAGGTTGGGCTTCCTCATTTCCCTCCCCCACTGCACTCCACTCCCAGGCCCAGGCTGGCAAATGGTAAGGGATAATGTATCCACAGCAGAAAGCAACACATCAAGGGACTGAGAACCTGTAATGGAATCAGCCACCAGTTACAGAGATCTTTCAAAAAAATTAGAATATCACTTGCTATTGAGTTATGGGCACTTTAAATTCCATGCAGATAAGAAACAGAGACAGCAGTGCTGAACACCAATCTTG